CATTGTTTTGGAAGTTATAACAAAGGAGTTTAATGACCCATAATCAGAAAACAAAGTCTTTCTTGGTGGGGCTTGCAGTACGGGAGGCCACAGCTTCAGGAGGTGGTGTGCAAATGAGCAGGTCGTCCTGGGAGCTAGACTGGGGAGAGATCCTTGTTTCTTGGAAGGTTAGTGATGTTGTGCCTTAGACTGACCTCAGTATTCTGTAAAAGGGCTTACAATGTGGGTGGGTTGTTTGTTCGTGCTAAACTTTTGCAGTAGAAATTTACCCAGAAGTAGAACAAACCACCAGCTTCAACAGTTATCAGTATTTTGCTAATCTTATTTCATGTCTCTTCCCTCCCCTAGACACACACACGTACATACACTCTCTCGCTTTCTTTCCCCTGCCCCCTCTTTTCTTTGCCTTCTGGAAGAATGTAAAACACATCCCAGACATCATGTCATTTTGCCATTAAATACTTTAGTATGCATCTTTAACTGATAAGCATTTTTTAAACATAACCACTATTACATTCTTAGATGATTTCTTGATGAGATCAAGCAGAATATAGCAGTAATCAGTAGTGTAATGCTTATGCTGAAAATGAGCATTTTTATGCAAAATATTAAATTTAGTCCAGTTCAGCAAGTGTGTTAATGTCTTTTATGTACAAGGCACTGCATACATAGCACACACAGATGAATCAAATAGGGGGGGTCCCAGACCCTGAGAAGAGCCCTATAGAAGGTCCATGAGGCAGACAGACCTGTAACTGAAGTTCAAGGGAATGTTCAAGTAAAGTCCTCAGAGAGCAGGGAAGCTGGCGGGTGGTAGGGTCTCTGAATGTTTGCTGAATAAGAAGTAGAGGTGGGACAGGCTGGTGAGTTCACAGGAGGCTTCCTGTTCAGTAGGAGAGGCTACCTGAAGAGGTCTGTGCACGACAGGCCTTGAGGAATAGGCCCAATCTCTGCCAACAAGTTTTAAAATTGTGAAACAACAATAAAGGAAGATTTCCATACATGCACCGAAACATAAAAGAAATAGGCACCCACTCACACGCCTACCATTCTGACGTAGTGGAGTCATATCTTTTCTAGGAGTGTAAGTCTGAAGGCGACCTCCAAGGCTGGGGAATCGTTCAGATGACCTTTGCACATCCTTTAAATCACTGGAACTTATGCCTTCTAAGTCCACAAGAATCCACGTGTTTGTTTGTTTTTGCATTAGGATCCTCCTTTTGTGGGCCTAAGATTTAGTTTTAACAGAGAACAAGGAGACCAACCAGTCAATGAAGAGATTTTGCTCTTCTGCCAAGCTGGCATTCCT